TTTCCATTCATGGTTTCCTGCTCCTCCTATTCTCCACCCACACTGATGCTACATCCTGATCTCCTGAACCAAGGTCATCTCTAATAATTGCACAATACCATCCTTGATTAACAATGCTACCTTTCCACCTCCACCCAGCTTCCTATTTTTCTTGAATGTCATATGTCCATTAATATTCAGAACTCAATTCTTGCCATCCTCCAGACACATCTCTGTATAGCTATAGGATCATGTTTATTTCCATCAATGGGTAATCAATTCATTCACTATGTTATGAATGCTTCACATATTCAGATACAAAGCTTCATGTCTTCTGCTTTAATTATCTTCGTATCATCTAGTCTTGACTATTGGTGTATTCTTAGGTTTATTGTGTCTGTCCTTCATGCCTTTCTCTGACCTTAATTTTCCATGTTACTATTTTGCTCTCCTGCCTTGACTCCACCCTTTGACAGCTACCCACGCTTCATCCCTCAGCCTCATTGGTTAAAGGCCTCTCTACTTCCCTAGTTATACAGTTTACTAGAACACTAGGTCCCAGCACAGTTCAGGTGCAGACCATCCCAATTGTACAGTCCCCACTTTCCCCAGTTCTCATCTAAGTAATCCACAACCCGAAACTCACTTCTTCTACACCACTATTTGCAAACAAAATATTGTGGTTAAAACAATATTTGTGGAGAGAAATATGGTTAATGGCCTGAATGTTATATGCCTCCCCTGCCAGAAACATACCAGGCAGGGGCATGTAATATCGGCTGGGTAGTTAGTCCACCACTTTCCTGCCCACTCCTGAGCTCACTTCCATAATACAGAGGCTGAGCAGGCACCAAAATCATTTAGGGTCAGTTCAGCTTGTTTACAGTTCAATTGACCCTGATAGCACACTGCCCATACCATGAAATGGCTGTTATGGACAGGAGGGCACAAGTGGCATTCTCACTTTCTTCAAAAAAAGCATTTGAAACAGTGGGAAATGTTAGGGTATTATTTTTGTGTTCATTACTTATCAGGAGATATGGGTGGCACGGTGGCTCAGTGGTTAGTACTGCTGCCTCACAGCACCAGGGACCCGGGTTCAATTCCAGCCTCGGGTGACTGTCTGTGTGGAGTTTGCACATTCTCCCCGTGTCTGCGTGGGTTTCTCTGGATGCTCCAGTTTCCTCCATAGTCCAAAGATGTACAGGTTAGGTGGATTGGCCACACTTAATTGCCTGTAGTGCGCAGGGATGCGTAAAATAGGTGGGTCATGCAGGGTTGGTCTGGGTGGGATGCTTTGAGGGTCGGTGTGGGACTTGTTGGGCCAAAGCGCCTGTTTCCACACTGTAGGGATTCTATAATGATATTGTTGAAAAAAGCGTCCCCTTTGTTCCTCAGTTGTGTACTCACTGATACTACTATATATTACACAGACATAGTTGACTGACTAAATACACTATATTGTCTCCATGACACAGGGAAAGTGACTGAAGGTGAGGCAAGTACCTTTATACTGGAATGTCACATGTAGTGATGTCCTTTGACTGTCTTAAAGCTAAAGTCCCTCTGTGGTCTGGACCTACAATATAATACAATATCTCTCCTTTTCCCTTTAATGAGTGGCAACCTTATACCCAATAACCATGTACAATGACACAGATAGATATGTTGTCTCTATACATTCTGTACAATCTGTATATTCAGAAAACACCTTGGTAGATTTACAGCATGACCACACATAGTCCTTATACTGTTATCATGACTTGGTAGTTTAGCTGCACTGTATATTGTGTTATCTGCCATCATGTATGGATATGTATCATTTCTCATAGATGTGTGGTCATTGTCTGGCATGATATCTTCAGAATCGGAGTCACCTTCCAGTGTGATGGGTGGACAATGATGTACAGTTCAGACATGTTGACTTTGTCATTACAACATCATATGGCCTAGACTGGACACAAACTCTCAAACTTTTAAGCTTTGCCCAATTCAAGACTGTCTGTATGCTTGCTTATCATTTCTTGTACCGTTTTCTCCCTTCATTCCAAAAATATGTTGTGCACATGTGGTTGGCTGATGAACATGTGAGAAGGAAGAATCATGTGGATCTGTCTGCCAAATATGACAGCTGTTGTTGAGGGTAAACTTACCTGAAGAAACAGCAAATGGATTTGACATAACTATCCAAAAATCTTGGCAAGTCGCTTTACATTTCATGGTCATGGATTTTACGATGCGAACAGAGCTTTCTAAAGACATGTTGACTGAGGATAGTGAGGAGAAGAGATAATATATTAAATGCTTCATTTCCTATACATCACTAATGCACTGTAGAACGTTGACACAATTTGTTGAGGAACACTGAACATAGTGAATATGACAGTGAATGTTTCAAAACCTTTGCACTGGTGAAATATTTGATTTGCTGTACAAAAGGGAATTTGGTGAAATGGTCAGTTATCAGAATATAATAATGTTCCTGTTGTTGGAAAATATCAGTAGCAATTTTGCACAGCGGCTCCAAAGGAATTGTGTCTGGAAGAAAAGCTTCTGTCAGTATTTGAGGTTCCATACAATTTAGTTAGTTCATCAATGTTCTTATTAATGAGGTAATACATTGAATCACATACCAATCTCTTGGTTCTTCTGTGTCCGTGCCACCTATATGCCTGTGGTCTGGTGTGTTTTGATGTAGCACTTGTGGAATTATGACTTGCCTTCATATGAAAATTACATTCTTGGATATTCCTAAATCATCTTGCAATGAGCAGACTGAAGCTACTTGCTCATGGACTTGTTCAAAATATTCAGGCCACCTGCAGATGATAATCTTTTTGACCTGTTGCTGCTGGTCATCACTTGACATAGCTCACTGAATCTGCTCTGCTCAGCTATGATCAGAATGGGTGCGATCTACATTGTCATCTTAACATGTGGTGTGGCAACTGACAAACTTGTTAACTCGCAGATCATGGACAACCGTGCAGACTGGCAAACCAATAGGAGGTCCATCCATTGCAATGGTATAATAGGTTCAGCCTTTAGTGTCCACTTATTGGCATTAACTACCAGCCATGACTAGATTTAGTCAGAGATAGTAGGAACTGCAGATGCTGGAGAATCCGAGACAACAAGGTGCAGGGCTGGATGAACACAGCAGGCCAAGCAGCATCATAGGAGCAGAGAGGCTGACGTTTCGGGCCTAGACCCTTCATCAGAAAA